AAGATGCTTGTGGGTTCTCTGATCTGGATGTTTATTCTATGTATTATATAAGATGCTTGTGGGTTCTCTGATCTGGATGTTTATTCCATGTATTATATAAGATGCTTGTGGGTTCTCTGGTCTGGATGTTTATTCCATGTATTATATAAGATGCTTGTGGGTTCTCTGATTTTGATGTTTATTCCATGTATCACATTAAGATGCTTGTGGATTCTCTGATCTGGATGTTTATTGTCTCATAAGGTGCTATTCAGATTGACAATACAAAAAACCTTTGTAAGTGACCTGCAGCAGTTTCTGTATCAATCTGAACATGTTTTCAATTCTTGGCACCGAAATACCTCTAATTTTAAAAGTTCTCAGACTTTGACTTTAATATTTCATGTATACAAATTTAAACTGTACTAATTTGTCAAATGTAAAATAAAACTATTGACAATGTTCCAGATATTTTTTAGTTGTATTATAATGGTTATACTAGTATTTTCTGAGTAAAGTTAAATTGAGGTTTTCAGTTACTGTAAAATATATGTGATTACAAATGTCATGTTTTATACCTTTTCTGCAGCCTGTTATTACAACACTGCTTTCAACACTTACGGTCAGTTCAAGTGGCGACGGTCCACTGTAGTGCCCAAACTACACCTCTTCATGTTCTTCAGAAGTTGGCCCAAGTGTGCATATCAGTGAACTCTCACTCTGGAAGAGTGTTGCGACCGAAAGACTGTGAACGACTGGTGCTGTACTTGAAGGAGCTGAACCTACCAAAGCCAGACAAGTGGGGAACGTGTCAGCTGATTGCTTGGTTGCAACAGGTTGGAGCATTTTGTTGTTGCATGGTGTTAATGAATAATGCTATAGTTACTTTATTTGAAGTGTCTCTCTTAATGTACTTTACCTGTGCTAGGTCGTTATGTTCCACTGTATCTCTCAGGTCTTTAGGTTCTACTGTTTCTCTCAAGTCTTTAGGTTCCACTGTCTCTCTCAGGTCTTTAGGTTCTACTGTTTCTCTCATGTTGTTATGTTCCACTGTCTCTCTCAGGTCTTTAGGTTCTACTGTCTCTCTCAGAGTTTTAGGTTCTACTGTCTCTCTCTCAGAGTTTTAGGTTCTACTGTCTCTCTCTCAGAGTTTTAGGTTCTACTGTCTCTCTCTCTCAGGTCTTTAGGTTCCACTGTCTCTCTCTCAGATCTTTAGGTTCCACTGTCTCTCTCAGGTCTTTATGTTCTACTGTCTCTCTCAGGTCTTTAGGTTCTACTGTCTCTCTCAGGTCTTTAGGTTCTACTGTCTCTCTCTCAGAGTTTTAGGTTCCACTGTCTCTCTCTCAGATCTTTAGGTTCCACTGTCTCTCTCTCAGGTCGTTATGTTCCACTGTCTCTCTCTCAGGTCGTTATGTTCCACTGTCTCTCTCTCAGGTCGTTATGTTCCACTGTTTCTCTCTCAGGTCGTTATGTTCTACTGTCTCTCTCAAGGTCGTTATGTTCTACTGTCTCTCTCTCAGGTCTTTAGGTTCTACTGTCTCTCTCAACTCATTATGTTACACTGTTTCTTTCAGGTTGTTATGTTCCACTGTTTCTCAGGTCTTTAGGTTCCACTGTTTCTCTCTCAGATCTTTAGGTTCTACTGTCTCTCTCTCAGGTCGTTATGTTCCACTGTTTCTCTCTCTCAGATCTTTAGGTTCCACTGTCTCTCTCTCAGGTTGTTATGTTCCACTGTCTCTCTCTCAGGTCGTTATGTTCCACTGTCTCTCTCTCAGGTTGTTATGT